TTATTTTTGCGGCTCTTGATTAAATATAAATACATATGACAATCATTGTTTGTAAAAAAATTACCCTGTAAAATAAAATAGGGGATGCAAGTTTTTATGTCATTTTTTGAAGCTAGAAACTTGAATCTTATTGTTGAGACTGTTGATTAAATATAAATACATATGACATTCATTGTTTGTAAAAAAATTACCCTTAAGGGGGTAAAATAAAATAGGGGATGCAAGTTTTTATGTAAAATCGTCATTTTTGAAGCTAGAAGCTTATTTTTGCGGCTGTTGATTAAATATAAATACATATGACAATCATTGTTTGTAAAAAAATTACCCTTAAGGGGGTAAAATAAAATAGAGGATGCAAGTTTTTATGTAAAATCGTCATTTTTGGAGCTAGAAACTTATTTTTGAGGCTGTTGATTAAATATAAAGACATATGACATTTATTGTTTGTAAAAAAATTACCCTTAAGGGGGTAAAATAAAATAGGGGATGCAAGTTTTTATGTAAAATCGTCATTTTTGAAGCTAGAAACTTATTTTTGGGGCTGTTGATTAAATATAAATACATATGACATTCAATGTTTGTAAAATTTTTACTCTTAGGGGGAGGGGGGGGGGTAGTAAAATAAAATAGGGAATGAAAGTTATTGTGGAAATTTGCTGTTTGTGTGGTTGTGGAAGCTAGAACGATTAAACTTTTTTCTTTATCTTTTTAGGGTTAGTTTATTAAATACCTTAATGATATTATAAATGTGAAAGTAACTTTGTCTGTTTGTCTCGCTTACACGCCAAAAATACTGAACCGATTTAAATTGAAATTTGAAACAGACAGAGATAGATTAGATCCTGAGAAAGGACATAGGTTACTTTTTAAAGTGAAAAAGGGTTGCAAGAGGATTGAAAGGGTAGATCCAAGGTTATATAGATGTATCGTCATGTTTAAAGCTAGAAGCTTGAAATTTATTTTTTAGCCTATTGATTAAATATTTATTTTTACTTTTTATCATTTTTGAAGCTAAAACGATGAAACTTATTTATTTGACTTATATTGTGTTAATTGTGTTAAATATTTTTTCATTATTTACGCGGACGAAGTCGCGGGTACAGCTAGTAATAAAATATAAATACAGCAATACATTATACTATTGACTTGAAATTAGGTATAAATCAATGTAGGACGTAGAAGGAATATAGGAAGTATAATATATGTATAATATAGGAAGTAGTTTTGAGACATTTAATAACTAGGTTTTATAGATAGTATGTATAAATTAATTGTAATATTCAACAACAAAGACTCGCTTCTTTTTATATTAAACTACAAATGATATTTAAAACAGGTAAATAATATATAAATATTGTTTTAATACCAACGAGAGAGTATACCAATATTATATATCAATATTTATTTAGATTATGAATGAGATTTTAAAGTTCATTTGAATAAAGAATGAGTTCTGCTATTAAATTAAATATTCCTAGTAACACGAATTTCAAATTATTTATTATTGAAATACTAAAATAAACGCGAATTAAGTTGATAAAAAACTTACTTGTATCTTTTATATGTACAAAAGAATATAAAACTATTATTTTTATTGTCCAATTGCAGGTAATATCAAAATATCGCTATTGGGTAATAAAAAAGAATGGTTTTAGTGGAGTGACATATATATAAAAATAACTATTAATTTCGTATCGCACATGGCATGCATACAATATTTAAAGTAATTTAAGTTAAGCCTAAAAACTGTCAGGTTATTTGAGATATTTTGTTATAAAATTTATAATAAATTTTATAACAAAATATCTATAAAAAATTTGACGAAATATTTTTCATGTATATGAGCATCCAACCATTATACATTTAATGTCCATCTAAATATTTTATCAGAATTTATAAACGAGTATTATAAGTTACATTATAATACATAAGTAATAATAATTGATATAATTGTAACATTGTATTAATGTAAAAGATTTAGGAAATAATATGTCCGTATTTTATATATTATTATCGATTCGTACGGGTAGTAGGAAACTGTATTATATTTATATCGAAATATTCGTCAGGAATTACCCTGTTGAAGGATTAAAACCGCCTGAAAATCCTTTTTATATTATATTTCTAAAAGAAAAACGAATTATTCAGTGTATGGTAAAATATTGACAATAAAAAAATTATATAATTTTAATGTTAACATAGATTTGTTAAATTAAAACTGCTACGAAATAATGTCAACCACACACACACACGTAGTAATTACTACCATACTTTTAGAATTAGAGTCGTTAGAATATTTACCTATCCATTACATTTCTGCGATGAAGGCGAATAGGTGCTATTGGTAAAATCTTATAAAAATATTATCAGCGATTTAATTGTAAAAATGTATACAAAAACTATGGATACTAAAATTATTTAATTATTATTTAAAAATAATCTCCTAAGTATCAGTGTATAATAAGGAATTCCATTAACATCTAAATATTATCTATTAACTTTTGCGGTTCAATAATTCTAATTAATTTGTTGAAAGTAATGGATGCGAAAATGTACTTAAATTTTTAGATAATCCTTATAAAAAGTTGCATTTATTGTGTTCTCGAGCAGAAATGTTTTAAGCGGAGTGGTTTTACGTGTTCAGGTATTAAAAATAATAAAATGAGTACGTTTATATGATAATAATGTAGGTATACCTAGTTCTGTTTTAATGTGGATAAATTAATATTTATTTTGATAAACAAAGGTTTTGTGCTAAAACAATACACCCTTTCTCGGGTTAGATAGCAATAGCATAAATAAGAGAGTAATAGTTACGAACGGTTCTATTTGTATGAATGCGTGGGATGATTATTGTCGTCCAGTCTTATTCGGGTATTCCAAAAGTAGCTTAAGCGTAAACTACTATAATACTCCCAGAGAATATCTATTATTAAATCGATTCAAGAAGTGCGAAGACTGAAAGAACAGTTCCTATCGTCTCAGAATAGGCTGAGCCTTTCCTTATGAGGTGAGGATATAATCAACTATTACCATACTCGTCAGGGAAATTTATTTCAAGTTTTCCTCCTGTTATGTGCTTTGTACCCTATTACGATATCGTAGGGATCAAATGGAGTGGTAAAACATTTTTTCTTACATCATTACAACTAACACGGGCTATATAACAAATAAAAGTGGATACTATAAATGTTTTGTACGAAATTATTTTTCTTCAATATCAAAGTAATAATTATTTATTGTACTAATTAGTAATAATATTATAAACGTGAAAGTCTATGTAGTTAAGTACTGTCTATTTGTCACCTTTTCATGACAAAATATCTAAATGTGAGTAATGAAACTCACATTTAGATATCTATTTAAAAGCAAATGAACTCGCAGATAAGATTAAAATATATAAACAAATTAAAAAATAAAGACATGTACGTACTAGATAAATAAAATTCAGGTCTGGTTAAAATTAGTAATTATGGATTAGGAAAATGGTTTACTGTATATTTAAATGGACTATATATTTATTAAGTACTTGTTCATTCAGATTGAAAGAAAATTGGCTAGCTATACTAATTTCATTCTTGTTTATATTCTTTGACATGATGTAAATCATGATTTAGTAGCTACATTAAACGAAGTAAACTAACAGATCACAATTTATTTGTACAAAGATCGGTATGTAAACACACTCTAAATAGTAATGCAAACCGAATGAGGTCAGACAATAGCTATGCCAATCACAGATCCTAAAATAATGTTTATCGTAGCATAGATGAATAAAATTTAGCGATTGATCATATAAAAACAATGAACCTTATTTGTGTGATTTAATTTTACGAAAAAGTAACGGGAAACAATAATAAATAAAAATATTTCTTTTTGTAGTAACAGATAATAATGATTTTATTTAGACAATAAAAATAGACATAAGTAAAAAAAGAAGGGGTTATGTCGTAATGTGCATTTCGTTTTTCGTAATGTCGTTTTCGAAAGTTATTCGTATTTTAATAAATTTTATTACCAGATTTATGTTTCGACAAAGTTAAAAAACTTTGTAAAAAATCATCTACGTCAGTCTCGTTTACTTCAGCCGACAAGTAGCTTGCCTTGTAAGATAAAATTATATATAAGTAAGTTATAAATAGGTAATTATGAAATTACAGGATAAGAGACATGATGCCTTAGACCTCCGGAATGGCAATACATAAGTGGTATATTACGTGCATTACATATTAACATGATGTCTTTAGTAGTCCTTGTTATATATGTGTATTGGTGATAGTTACCACTTACCAACGCATAGGTGATCACTTTTTTGCCATTACAATTACATAATGAAAAAGTATCTTCATCAATCTGCAGTAGTTATCTCTTGCAGAAGAACATGAAATTATGTCGTCTCTTATGTCTATAAATTATAATGTTATAAACATTATAGATATAGCGGTTATCCTTCCTTGTATCTAATTGTGGAGTGGTATTAGGGGATTATGAAGTTATTAGGGCCCCTTTTCGAAGTACATTTGAAATACAAAGGGTATTTTCTTATGAAATTAATTATTCCATATGTATTAACTGTGGGTACCTAAATCGATACCATTACGTAAGATTAGTTATAAAATAATAAAAACTGTAAATGAAATAACAATATAATACCCATGGAGTCGACAAGATGTCAGTTTGACAATACAGTATGTGCAAAGTTAATAGTATAAAGAAATCAAGTTCTAAGCTTCGAATAATACTCATGAAACTGAATTCATTTCATTATATTATTTTAGATGTAAAGCCTGAAAATAAATATTCATCACTTTATACGAAATTGATCTCATGGCCCAGTCATATATAACACGAAATGTTCAAAAATCTATTTCAGTATCTCAATCTCAACAAAGTTAATCAGTTTAATATATTTAACTTGGACTTTTGTCTTGATATATCTTTTACGACTGCCTGACTGATTGTGATATCCACGATATAACTTTTTCCTACAATATAGGATGTCAATTCCAACTGAAATCGTAAATAATTTGATACTCTACTAAAACAAATATGATATACGTATACATCTTCCAATATAGTCGAAAAGTAAAGTCTGGACGTAGAGTAATTTATATAATCCAAATAAAAGATATTGTATATAAAAAAAATAATAGATGCTTTCTGAACTCAAAAAACATTATTGCCTTTAAGAATAACAGTAAAAAATATTTATTTTTGACTCGTACCAAATTACAATTTATTTAAAACAATAGTAAACCAATTAAGTATTTGAAATACTTAAATGGCTATTCAAATTATTTTCCTAATTTCAAGCCTTCAATCTTTACAATCTACCAAGGGGCATGATTAAATAAACAATAGCGCGCGGTGGTTGAAATGCCTTAATTTTCCTTGATAGCGACAAATTACTGCGCGATCCACTTCGAGTTTCGATTTACTGTTTTAATTATGGTTGCTTGTTATCTATCCATCTAAATGTAGATTGCTCAATTCAACAATAGCATAAATACAATAGTCTATAAGATGAGATGAAAAAAAATCGTTAATTTTAATTATTGATTGATTTAGTATTGCCACACATTCATACTAAAATATCAGTCTCAGAACATGTTAATTTCGATGTATTTTTTGTTAAATTTTCGAATACAAAAATAATGTTAAATGAATGTTTCACGACACTTATACGACTTGATGTGGAGGCTCTCAGAGCATTAAATATTTATGTTTTATACGTGTATAACAGATAACGCTCTTAAGTGAAAATACTTTACGAAAAATATTTTAATCTGAATTTGTACGAAATTTTGTATATTTTATTTAAGGTTTAAAATAAAAAGAAAATAAAAAAAAAAAGGTCATATATATAAAAAAAATAGAATTTATTTGTTTACACAGATTACATATTAGTACTAACCTGGTCTCTGGTTGAACAGGTGGTGCAGGTATTGATTCTTCGGGCTCTTGGGCTTGTGTTGGAAGTGGAGGCGGCACTTGTGCTGAAGTTAATGCTAGTGCTTTGTAACGAGACTGCTCAGCCGTCGGTAAAACGATATCTACCGATCTCGAGCGTAATCCAGTCCCCGGAACTGTCAAATTATTTCCCGTGCCATTTATTTCTTCAGCTCTCGGACCACCAGACACTTTTGAGAAGCAAGAATCCACTGACGCCGCACGATCACGTTTAAGTTCAGGTACAGCTAAATAAATATCGTGGACTAAAGTATCTCTTGCGACATTGGTCGCGCCTTCTTCTGAAGCTCTCACATTTTCCAAAGAACTGCCCGTGGGTTCAACAAAAAATGCTTCTTGTCTTGATATGGAGCGTCGTCGCTGAGGCAAAATAGGTGGCTCATCGCTCGGCGGTTGCAGTTCAAACGATGGAGCGCCGGGTGACGGAGGTGGTGACTGTGGTGGGGGTGGTGGCCTAATAGTTCTTGGAGGCGGAGGTGGAGCGAGTAACACTCGTGGAGCTTCACATTCACTTTCATCTTCGTCATCATCATCCTCAGCCGATGAAGAAGCGAGCGGTCGTTCAGGCGTGACACGTTCTTCGCTACGGCGTGCTAGCCATGTTTCCATATGTCGACAATGCACGCATGGTGGTGGAGTGCCTTTGCCTGACCGACGTCTCGACCAGATACGAGGGACCTGAGTACAAAAGTATAATAATAAAATTTAGCGTGTTATGTGAGATAAGGGTAGCCAGAGGTATTATCAGTAGTTGACGTAATGATGAACTCGACACTTAAAATACCCACATATAGATGAGTGAGTTTGTATGTCTGTATGTATTTGAATTCAACGTGGCAGGGGACGAGACTGCCACCTTTAATTGAATTTTGGTTTCATTATTGTCGTTTCCTTCTCCGGAGAGTCAGTTGGAACAATAAATTGATACACACAGTTTTTTTATGTCTACCAGAATAAAACTTCATAGTTTTTTAGTGTACGACGGAGTACTTAATCTAGACCACGCGCTTAATTTAACTATATACTTAATTTTGCAGTCGAGCATATAAGCTCATAATTTTTTATTTATTATCTCTTGCGGTAATTAGGTCGCCCTTGTTTAATTTGTTGGTTCTATAACGTTGGCAGCAATAAAGAATACTGTTTATTTACTAAATGCACCGTAAAGATAAATTATTATTACTTATCTAAGTATATTAAATACATATTTGTGTATATATATAGTATTATTTATTTATATAATTAATGCATCTTATTGCACGATTGTAGCAGACTCACTGATGAATTTTCATATTATTTTTAAGTTTTATTTTAAAACATTATATTATGTATATCTATCGTATTAGTCGCAGATATATCGTCAGATACCTCAGCTTCAACGATTATATCTTCTTGTTATCACTTATAAAACTTTGTTTCCATCACTCCACAATTCCTGTCATTTAAATGTTGACTGGAAAATCGCTCTTGTTCTATAAGTCCGCCATTGTACTAAGTTTTATTATATAATGCAGTATTACAAACAAAATTTAGAACTTACAGTAAACATATCAAAGAGACGTATATAATGTAAGTCCTTACTGACAAGACTCAACTAATTACCATGATGGCCCTAAATAGCAACCTACTGATAGTTATCAATAATTTCCTACTTATCTACTAAACAAAAGAGGTTGCAATGTGTGATTCTGAAACAAAGAAAGATACCATATGTATTTATTAACAACCCTAGTGATTTGTGAGCTCTGCCCATAACGGAAGAAAATATACGAGAGTGTGAATTCCCAAAGGCGAATGTCTTGGTTTGTGTCATCAACTATATAATATTATTAATATATTTTTATATTAAGGTAAGTTATAGATTTGCTATAGGATAAACAAAATACACCACCAACTTATGTGTTTAAAACAAACTGTATACTAAGCTGAAAATTTAATTAATACTTTTTGTTTCGCCAAACGTGATTAATGTCTTTAAGTTTGCCGCTATCTGTGCCAGACAAAGCCACCGAGTAATGTAGACTGTCAGTAGATGTTGTTTTCACTTTATTGAAACACTATCTCCCGTGAGTACATCTGCTATTTTTATGACAGAAGGTAGCCTATATCTATCTTTACGACAGATTTCATTGAGATCGTTTAGCCGTTTAGCCGTAAGACATCTGAACGGTTCAACGATTATAATAAATAACAGACAGACACAATATTTCATTTACTGTAGTAGTATCTGATCATAACTTTGTCCGTTTAACCATAATTAATGGATATAAATAGTAGTGTATGTACTCCATTCTAAATATTACGTAAATTACAAAGTTGGTGTAAATGGCGCAAAAACGTATCAAAGAAAACTAACTATTTACATATTTTTTATTTTACTTCTTCACGTTAACTACTATTACTTGATTATATTTATATAAATAAAGCATTCACATGTACACAGTTTGGTGACTCAAACACCTTTGAGCCTTGTAACCGTGAATGTGAATGCCTTTTTGTAAAGCGTAATTACAGAGGTAGTAATTATAAAAGTCACTATAGCGGCTCGTTTTATTTTAAATTTTACATTTTTTCAGACTTTCACCGTACTTCATATATAGCATTATATGAAATACGGTAAAATGTAGGTACGTCCTAAACCCATTTCGATTTTTTATTCTAATTATTAATAATTATTAATAACAAACACCCAGGATAATTTACACAGTCCCATCTAGTCCCAAATTAAGCAGAGTTTGTATTAACAGTGACTACACGACAGATAAAATATTTAAGAATCCTTTTCTAAAAATTAATGTATTAAATATATATATATATATATATCTACACACTTGTATACATATGTGTACATAGAAAACACCTAAATAAATTCAAATAATCGTACTTACAAATACAAATGTTTGCATTTTACCAGAATTGACCAGCTAATATACATATTGTTATTGTCTTAAGCCGCTCGATCTCTGCGGCCGTCAATATAAATAGAAGTAAATTTTATGGAAGAATCATAAAAGTACTTAACTTATTTGCCTCACATGTAAAATTATAATACAATAGCGTTATTGTACTTACTTCAAGATAAGTGCCAGAGTCGTCTGATCCGGCGGAGTCAAAGGAGCGGCTGCGCGCGCCTGGTTGCGGCACCGCAAGTAACCCACTGGTGCTCGCGCCGCGCGCAGCCTCCAACTGTATTTCATCGAATGACGCCGACCGGACCTGAACATATGTAATAGAAATAAAAATATATTTTTTATGGTCTTGGAATTAGAAGCAGATTGATGGCCCACCTTGGGTTGTTAGTACTCGTATTGTGGAGTAATAAACCCATTGCTAGTAATGCACGATGTCAGGTTGACCTCCACGTGGTTTCCTCTGGAAACTATCGTGATAAATTCATAAGGCTAACTGACCTGACTTTATGCTTATCCTATCATTCTCTACTGGTAACCCCCTCCAGCGAAAACCATTATCATCATAAGAAAAAAAAACTATGTAGCAACCGCCTGTATATATGAATAGCACAAATGGACATAACGTCATTATGTGATGTTCATAGTACCCCTCGCGCATTGCTATGTGATCTAAGGCGTATTAAGGTGTCATGTCGTACCCTGTAATTTCAATGGCCCATAACCGAAATACAGCGCCATAACAAATTGCTTGGCTGCAAAAATAGATCAGGAATGATCACGTTGACGACTTTGTACAAAGTTCACCTAGGTTATCATTATTTGGACATTCTTAAATCAAATTACTATGTTAATTAAATTTTGTTATTTTTTTTTAGTATACGTAGAACGGAAGGAATAGGTACATTTCGTTCCGTTCTACGTATACTAAAAAAATTAAAAATCTGATATAACCTTATTCTACCACTTTCTCTTAATTAAGAAATTCCCATGGTAACAGGAGATGATAGGCTTTATGGTAGTTTTATGGATTATAAATTTCGTAGAGTAAATTGAAAAATACGTATCAACAACTAATCTTATTTCAATAATCTACTGTTTAACGATCGGTATAGAACATTCTGCAGAGTTATAATTATTTGTTGTTTCTTTCAAAGATTTAGACGTAGTGTATAGAGTCGTTCTGAATCTAAGACAGCTAACTATTCTGTATTATTCTTATTAAAAATCAATAAATATCTGAGGCCTCAGCCCAGGACTTCTAACCTCCAATTTAGAACAAAGTGCCGACAGTCAAAACCGCATATGCTGGTATTGTGATACGAAGGAAGGTTATCAAAATTCTTTTAATATAAGTATAGTGAGTTTAAATTGTTAACACATAATTTAGATTTAATTTTTAATCGATAATCAAATTGACGTCAAGCTACCAATAGTCAATGCATGACATGCCTACCTTCATTGAGTAATTTGCATAAAACGTAGGAGTTAGCCAAGCTTACCGCTGTCTCTCGGTATTCCAGAATCAGTCAGAAATATAAATTGGCATCCGAAGATTTCTTTTTTAATTTTTAAAATTATATTTACACCACTATATATATATATATATAGTTGTTCAATACCTTAGTCTTAAGAAATGCCAACAAATTATGCAGTCCACATCATGTCACGTATGGTATTTTTTTAAAATTAAGGGTTTCGGGCTCGGAATATAGTCGATACTCGATACTTTCCAAAGGAGATATTTCGTTTATGCACGGATGGCCTATAACCACACAGGATACTTTCTTCTGCTTGCTAAGCAGAAGAATGTATCCTGTGTGGTTATGCAAATTCTTGTTGAGGTGATTTTGCCATGTATTTATTCAATTTGTAGTATCCAGTGAGGGTCCTAACCATGATGTATGTATTGCTTTTACTCCACATGTGGTACGGTCGATCGTCGTTGAGATCTTTTCGGGAGGCCTTTGTTCAGCAATGGACGTCTTCCAGACTGAGATGATGATGATGATGAGGTGTTATGGATAGTGAGCTTAGTAAAATTCACCTGCTTGGGCACTTCGAGGCTGCTTTGCGTCTTCATGTCGGCGGGTGTGGGCGTGCGAGACCTTTTGAATGTGGTGCGCAGGCGCTGCATGGCGGCCGGGGCGGGCTGTGCGCGCGCTCCTCATGTCGCGGGCAGACCCCCGCCCCGCCGCCGCCGCCCGCGCCCCTGGCGCACCACACCCTTACCACTACACACATCAAACACAACACACTATAAACCAGTTCATATAAATTATGTTGCTATAGTAATATAAAAACTATATATACCACTGCCACTAATTAAAGCATATAAAATCTTCTCAATCCTTAATTTAGACATACATATTTATATGGAAATAAATATCATAAATATGTAGTACTTACAATTTTTTTGTACTGATATGTCGAGAATTTTGTTATTATAAATACTATATATTAAGTCAACTCGGCTAATTATTTAAATACGCTTGCCTGATACTTTTAAATTACTTCTCATAATTGTTGAAACTAATGAAATTTGAAATTTTTAAGGAATATAAACTACCTATGTACTTCAAAGTACAAGTTTTATATTCCTGTACACGGTACTACTTAGTACGTACAAGGTATTATGAAGATGTGTTTAAAAATAATACATGTACCGTAATACATTTTTGACAAATATTTGCCTACATCAAACTTAACGTTATTGTATCTCTTTTGACATTATGATAACGAAAGCAAAGAAAACATGTACAGAAGAATATTAAAGTACGATATACGAATACATTGCTTATTTATTTATGGAAGACTACTATCGAGAGATACTATCATAACGTGGCCTAAATGGACAAGGATATTTTCGTACAAATTTCATACAAAAATCAAATCCACATGTAAAAGCAAGATGGATATTTCGGACATGTTTTTTACGTCATCAATAGCGATGACGTCATAGCATCACAAACCGGGCCACGTTCGATCTTATTACACCACCGCATACAAAATGTGGGCATTTTACGATCTAAGTGCGCGCTCTACGCCCTACAGAAATCTTATTTATACGGGACATTACTGCCGTAGTGGGAGGTATACCTGTCGTTACGGTGATGGATTTGCTCACATTGGAATTATGTTTTCACCAACATGTAACTGAAAAAATAAAACTTTGGAACATGAATCGGTGCGTATCTACACACACTAAAAATAGTCAAAATAATCATATTTTCAATATTCGTCTTATTCCATCTTAGAGACAGCCAGACCGACACAAACAATCGTACTATGTAATACTATATGGTAATATTTGTACCATGCGAGGAATAGAACCAGTGACCACCGAAAGTAAGGCAGTGTGCTAAACCCCTAGACTACCAAGACAGTCAAGTTAGTACATAGTAGATATATAGAACTATTTTGAATTTCAAATAGCATTAGTAGTTTCTAAAACAGAACTCTGGGACAGGCGGAGGGATGTGCAAAGTGACAATGTAAACATTCTTTTTTAATCTTGTTGTTTTAAAACTCAAAACAATTTATATGAAAATACAATAAAAAATACATCTTCTGTAATCATACGGAATCGTAAAAAAAATTGCAATCGATAACGCTGAAGTCCACCGCATTACCCGACCTACAAATGCTTCCATGTCTTTTTGCAATTCCATTACGGTTACGATCTGAAAGTATAATCCTAACTGTCATAAAAATGATAATAAATACTATATTTCGTCCCCTGTGTACTTACCAACTGAAAGAAAAAAAAATACTGACCCCCGCTAATCCTGTTATAATATTTGCATGACTTTACTAATCTGAATTCCAAATATTTATTATTTATACAATCTGTACTGTATAAATAACTGGATTTACATGAAGTATAATTTGAAGTTTATTTGGGAGGTTCTGTTTTATTAATGTTGACTCCGCGCATTGGGCTGAATGAGAAGGAGCGCTGCGATGACGCAACAACCAAAGAAGCACCTCTACATCCAAAACGTTCACCCTTGTCATAGGGAATTAATCTCAGAAGTCAAATTAATCTTGAGATGAATAAATTCACATCGTATTATAAACCGTGATAAAATTATTATACGTTATTTATAAATATATCTTTATGAACATATGTTTACATATTAGTGTAAACAAACGTTACATATGTTTGTAGGTAGATAATAACAATCTATTTCGCTTGTTTTTTCCCTCTTCCTATTTCATATAGGGTTCTTTTGCCAGATATCATTTTATGATTGAAATCTTTGGCTTTTTTCCAGTATCCGAAATTCCTAACAAATATTCATTTCGCAGACTACAAACACTTAAAATTAAGTATATCTATATGTCATCAGAAGTCTGTAGCCCCGGTCAAACATTTTAGAGAGTATCTTTGATATTAGTACAAGGCTTTGATATTGTGGTGAATTGCCCTTGTGTTACCTAAGATACCGGTAGACTATATTGACAAATATGAGATGTTTACAACAACAACAAAAGATGACAAATGTCGATATAAATATTAATAATTATTTTTTTATAAATATAACAAAAAAATAAAACCATGTATAAGTACTTAAGACGTCTTATAAGAATATAAACTTCAAATTATTGTTACAAAAATATTAGCTAATAGCAAAATCCCACATAACATTGCATGTCATTATACAGCTGCTCGAGGTATGATGTGACCTCATTTGAATGCCGACATGTAACAATTAATTACATACTTAACAATATCAAAATACGAGTATATTCGTACATTCAGTAATAATATTGCGTGAAGTAATGTATTAAAATTAAAACTCCTTAATTAAGTTTATGGACCTCAAAGTACCGATTTCAGTTGTAGCTTAATCAGAGCTAATGAATATTAATATTTTGGGAAAATAATTAGTAGTTAGTTACTTTGGTGATATATAGGTACCTATAGTCTTTGACCACACATGTAATATTATTTTATAATCTCTTTGAGTGTGGAACAACAATACTGTAAAATAGTCAATTATGGTATTAGCAGTAAAAATATCTAAATGATGTCATATTAGCAACGACACCACTTAAATTAAGAACCTCAATTTTATTTGATTGTGACTACGCGTTCTACTCGTAGATAATTCGTTATGTTTCTTTTGACTTATATGTATGTATAACTAAAAGAACCTCCATAATTTGTTACTTCAACAAAGCTAATAATTTATATACAATAAATAGCTCAACAGAACCTAAACTTATTCATGAATATATAATGGGAATAAAAAATTTTGAATTTTTGACGGTGCTTCATCAAACTTAAGGATTGTCGTGAACAAAGGAAAGCCGTCTTTTTACTTTAGCACGAAAACTTAAAGTGGGTAACAAAGGGCCAAAATAAATATTCACGAGGCGTTTATTAGCACACTTCCCTAAGTCAACATAGTCGCGAAAGCTTTTCTTTTTCTCACTGAATAAATGTTAAATTAAGCGGATTAAATGAATAAATACCCATTAGTAAAAAGTAGACATAAGTTGATTATTTTTTTTTGACTTTCGTAGGTAACAGCTACCTGCTCAATATAACAACAAAATTAAAATATACTCACATAATTATCTACAGGGAGGCTATTTTTATTTTAGAACAAATTTAATTAATATTTGATTTAGCAAAGAATTTTAACATATACATATTTCTATCAAAAGTTTTATTACAGAAACGTGTACAAATGACATTAAGTCCATACTCTAAAATATCTAAATATGACTTTCTAAATCACAAATTTCTACTAAATAAAAAGCAAATTATGTGTGAGTGGGCCTAGTAGGTCAAAGTTTAATATATAAATCATTCTATAATGAGAACATTTATCTTCTTTATATAATTTTTTCCTTAAATAGAGAGCCTTAATTGCCTGTTAAAAATAACAAAGTAAACTTAAAAACAGGTTTTATAAATAAAATTGATTAAATACACGAGTATTATAATATTATCAGTCGATAAATCTGCCTAAACGTGAACGTGAAGATTCATAATAGCCAAGCTAAATGCAAGGAACTTCAGACGCCAAGCCAGACATAGGACTGAACGACGACCATAGAAGTTAATGCCGGAAGACGGATGCTGCTGGATCCCGGATATATACTACTTAAGAATGTTAATACCTACCGATAGGTTAGCGCTGTTTGTATAACAGACAAGAGTTAAACTTTACAAGAATTATTGATTATACGAGTATCTGAACGATAATTTGAAAAGTGATCTAATGAGCCGTTAAAATGTGAAACTCAACCATTGGTGCAAAATAAACTGTATTAATTGTCTAATATCCAGGTTGTCTGATATAAATTGTTTACTAATAAGACCGCCTTTTCTTTTCTCTTTCTTATATACTATTTTTCTAATTGTATTTTTTTCTCTGTGCACAATTAAGAGTAAATATTATTATTAACATCCATCACTAATTGTTGTTACTATAAATGACAAATCAAGTAGATAAAAAATGTAATATTAGAAGACGGTATCAAAATAAAAGCTATATGTGAATAATAGTCAGTACGTATCAATGATTAATCGAAGCTATCGTTAATTTTACTTATGTATTAAGAGTAAGGTTGAATATACTCATTGTGGGATGTCCATCACGGTTGAGTGCTCGTGACAGTGAGGACTTCGCTCATTGAATCGCCTTCCACTTTAATTTTTTCAGCCTTTGAACAGGGTCCGAGATAAATGAGGTCGGATATCGACTGTGCCAGAAGTGGCTTGGCTCATACGATGCTAAGTGATTAATGGTTATTAGGTAAATCGAACTTTTATAGATAAACAAAAATTATATTTATTACCGGAGAGTTTTGTGAAGTGTATTATAATCGATAATTTAAATTCATAGCACCGATAAAACAGTTATAGTAAATTTATTATTTAGGGCGAACTAATGAACGTATTGAAGAGAAGTAGTCCAATAATATATTTATAATACATAGTTATGGTTTTAGCTTAGTTAGAAATAGTAACATAAACATCACCTGATACTTATTTATAATGTTTCGTATTTAAATAGCTATTTTGTAATTACTGCCTATAGCTAGGCGGGAGACGGGGGTTCCTATTTGTAACTGCTGGATATATATATATAGCTATAGCTATAGGCATATATACTTACA